CAAGACAGAAGAGAAGGCAGAAGAGAAGACAGAATGCAAGACAGAAGAGAAGGCAGAACACAAGACAGCAGAGCCGGCGGAGCCCAAGCCAGAAGAGAAGGGTGAAGAGAGCGAGGAGAAAAGGGAAGCTGAAGAGCGCCCTCCCAAAAGATTGAAGTGCAAAGAAGAGGCTCCGCAGGGAGCAGTTGTGCCAAAGAAAAAGGCAGAGGTTGTTGAGGTGGAAGATGGTGAAGATCCGCCTCTGATTTTGCGCCATGCGCAGTGGGCCCAGAAGCCGCCGGCACCACCAAGAGGCAGGCCCAAGGGAAAAGCAAAAGCGAAGGCAAAAGCGAAGGCAAAAGCAATGGCCAAGACAAGGGCCAAGGCCAAGGCGAAAGCAAAAGCAATGCCTCCAGACGACATTGAAGTTATTGAATCGGGTGATGAACGTGGTGATGACAAAAAACCTGTTGGGCAGAAACGAGCAAGAAAGACAGCGCAGCCCAAGCGCCGAGCAAAGGCCAAAGCGGGCCCACCCGATCAATCCCCTGACGCCAAAGAGGAAGACGAAGAAGAGATCGAGCCTATGATGCCTTTGACAAAGGCGGGAAAAGCTGCACTGCAGGCAGCCTTCAACATTGATGAGACTGATCCGGAAGCTGCGAGTTCTAAGAAGGTCGCGGATGTCACAAAGCCAGTGTCTGAGAAGGTCGCAACACCAGCTTCTTTTGCAAGGAGACCACCGCCTAAGACTTCTCCAGCCAAGGAACGGTGGTATGCAATCCGTGATGTGTATCGACATTACGTGCTGGACATTGTCCACGCCACCACCTTGCCGTCGTATGAGGTTGGGGAAGTATGCAGCACAAATGAATACATGCATGAACATATACCGCTAATTTTTGATATGTTTTAAATGTGTGTGTCTGTACCTCCAACCGTGTCAGCCATTGAACACCAGGTGGATTGGTGGGAGTATTGCATGGCAGCGTTCCAAGCAGCAGGGATATGCTCAAAGAAGGTGGGTGAGGACAGTTCCGACGTCTACCTTGAGAAGTTCACCGCAGCTGCTAAGGGCAAGGTTCATGCTTTCCTAATGGATGAGACGGGCTTGTGCGCAGATGCTGAGGACCTTCCGAGCTTGGAGTGAATGCTGTACAGCTTTCAGGTGCACAAGATCTCGGTCTGCCCACTACAACAAAGGCTTGATTAAAGCACACATGATCAAGCTTAAGCCATGTCCCAAAATCAATAGATTTGTGAAGGAAACCGTCATATAGCATCGTGGTGGATCACCCTGATCGGCTTGTGTTTTGGAGGGTGTTTATAAAAACACCCTATGTTCCGATTTCAATGGGGCCATGCAGCCAGCCAGGCTAGCTGCAATCTGGGGTTAATCGAATGATATACAATGAATCTGGATGCGTTCCAGCTAGTGGGAGAGCCGGCAATTAAAGCTTTTCACCATCTGCTTTTGGCTGGAAAAAGGGTGTCAGCTTTTAGGGCAGGCTTGCAAACGTACACCTTGAATGATCTAAGTTTCTCAAAGCATGGTCCTAGTTGAATTTATGGGGGTCTTGAAATTGAAAACGTCTGGCATGCAGTGCATGCATCAAAGTTTATGAAAGAATGGGTGAACACCAGAGATTGTGAAGCCAATCCGCCCGAGTCTTTTGAAACAGATCGTTGAATCGTTCTGGACCAATTCCTCCCAGTCATTCCATACATGAAAATGAACCATGTACCTCATTGGCGCACTTGCCAGGCAAATGCCAGCTGGTCTACGGCGAGGATGTATGAACTTGGCCAAGTATGGGATGGCATGTTCAACCAATCCAGGTGTGCACGGCTGGTTGTTCTTACTGCAGAAGTTCCAGTTCCATGCATTTGCACATTTGTTGCTGGTTGATTGGTGCAAGTGATTCATCCGATGCATTCCGATGCCATATTTAATTTTCCTTATGCCAGGGCTGTTGAGTAGTTTCATTGACTAAGGTCATTAACTGATCGAAGCACGCACATAAACTCCCTGCATTGCAACCTCTCAATCTTTTTGTGGATTGACGCACGGTGGTCTGTGTAGCCATGACCCCGCCTGAATTTGATGCACTGGTGAAGCGGCTCATCGCTCTCCAAACTCCAAAGGCAGCTTGGCCTAGGCCACCCAAACCCGTCATTCCCTATAAAGCCTAGCCCTAGCCCATTCACATCCTCATACAGCCTTTCGCTGGAAATGGCCAAGGTAGTGGTGCTTCTGGTTCTCCTTGTTTGGTGGCTTGATCTACCAAAAGAAGAAGAGAACCCTTATCAGGTGCTAGAATTCTTCTCCGGTGTTGGGCGCATTGCTGCCCTATCCAAGCTTGGCGGCCTTCGATCCGCGGCTGTGGATATTGTCAATGGGGAGGAGGTTGGGAAAAGGATGGGGAGGCCGTCGCCGATGGATTTGAACAGCAACGCAGGCCTAGTGTTACTGGACCACAACTTGGCTTAAGTTGTCCATTGGATCACGCGATGGACCCCCTATAACCTCTATATATATATATAGAATGTTTATTTCAGGAGTTTACTGACTGTCCCCTCCATGCCGTAGTTGATTTGGATTCCATCCATGCTGGAGGTTGTGCATCCATTTGGTACTTTGCTCAGAGTGGGAACGCCTGGCTTCTTTCCTAGCTATAGTTTGCTCTTCGTGGGTACCTGTGAATCGTGGCAGCACTGGCCGTTCTTTGGTCACTCCTTTGGGGAATGAGAACTATGTTTCGGTGAGAAGAAGTAACAAAATGGTAGCCAGGACTGTTGGGGGAAAAACAATGGTTTGTGCATGATGTTCCAAAGACCAATCTTACCCCACCAAATAGTAGAGGGAAGTCTGACCCTAAAGGTCCTGCATCATCATTTGGCTCACCATTGTATCTGGCGGTGTGTTCTTCCTAGAGAACCCGGCCCAAAGCCTAATTGCTTTGCACCCCCGCTTCATCTGGATGCTTGAACGTCTTCAGAAACACGGGATTGTGGCGCCTCGGCAGACATTGGGTTCAGGACTTTGTGGAAACCATGTATGTTGGACTCGAGTATGACATGAGCAATTTGATATTGCCAACTAAGATTAGCAAGATTGCATTTTGGATGCGAAAGTATGGGTCTATGTCATGGAAAAGAACCTGGGTGTGGGCAAACTCCCGGTGTATTGTCAAGCTGGACAAGGGTCCGCTCACGTCCAAAGAGAAGGAGACTGCTAGGCCAACTACCACTAAATACATCGACAAGAATGGTGTGACCAAATTCAAAGGCAACTCCACCTTGAAGAAGTCTCAGATTCTCAGCTTTGCTGGTGACCATGCTTTTTTGACAACCGTTAATATTGTTTTTCCTTGACCATCGCTGCGTTGCTTAGGGTATACTCCTATAAGTATGCAGCGAAGTTGGTATCCCTACTGCCAGAGATTTGGTCCCAACAGCGGTCGCATTGCTTTCCTGTGGAGGCGTGCTACTCAAGAAACAAAAAACTCAATGGTGGAGAAGGTATGATCATCATGTCGTCCAACGGCGCTGTCAGGTTTTGGATGCCTCGACCAAAGACCTGTTTGCCGCTATGGAATTTGACGATGAGGGTCGTGCTTGGGAACTAGAAGGTGACCTCAGGGATGTGATTCGTTATACACGGGGTTCCAAAAGACTTGTATTTCCGGACGGTTGGAGAGACCTCCTGCCAAGTGCTATGTAAAGCGCGAGTGCCGGTCGTTGCCTGTGGCTTTCTGGTAGCCAACCCAATTAATTCTAATCTAGAATGTGGGAGATTGAATACAAGCTCACACACGTGCACGTGTGCTCGCTCCAGGAAATGCAACCTAGTCGCATGGTTGCGTTTTCCATGAGCTCACTGCCTGATGGTGGGGCATCTCATGGATAAAGGGTGCATCAGGTGGTGGGGGCAAAGGGAAGACCAGTCAAATACCTGGATCCCATGTTTGGGGTATATGACCATGTCCTTTTATATGTCTATATGTTGAAAGAAAGAAATGTTTCAAAGCTGTTTGTGTTCGCTGAGCCCGTCATGAGCCCTTCATGTACATACATGAGTCCTTCATGACCAAAGTCCATGCATGAGTGTGTAATAGATCCCAAAGATGCAATCTTCAGGAAAGTGCATGAGTTGCATGAACACCTACACATGAAGTTCTTCATGTGTTTCAAAAAAATTAGGGGCGGAATTTCCTGGGTGCCGGTCGGAAATTCCCAGGAAAAGGTCGGAAATTTCCGGTCGTCCATTTGGGGTCTTGATTTGTAGTGTTTCAAGGGTTGGACGTCAAACACTCAAACACTAATGCTTCATGATATCACTGCAGCATCTTGAGTGGACCTATTAAAGGTGCCTGATGCCGGTTTCACTTCCATCCAGAGTTTTCTCGTCTGAAACTCTTATGGCGGGAGTGGAGCTCCTCCGCGATGAGTCGGGGTTGGATGATCTAGCTGAAGCGAATTTGGATGAGATGCAGGCTGAACTTGAGCGACTTCAGGCCTGCCCTTGTGTGAATCATGTCACCGCTATATATATGTGGACCACTAAATGCAGACCGGAAAGTACAGCGTGTGTTAGTTTGTCATGCAGAGGAACTAAAAGAGCAGACTCTGGCTCGTCCTATTCCAACACCTGTCCGTGCGTGGGAAGCTGACCCGGATGCTGAGACACTTCCAGCCACTTTGTCCGTGCGCTGATTGCACATTAGCCAAATATGATGTGCATGCACGCATGTGTAAAGGTGTTGTTTTTTTCTGTTATATTTTTGGTGCAGTATACCGGTCTTCAGGTCCCCGGACATGATGGTGAACCGCATCTTCGTGGTCTACCTGGCGATGAAATGTATGACCAGGACCAAGCTGAGGATTCCTGTATGCAACAATTGCATGTCTTGTTTATTCAATGAGCATCCGTCCATGGAGAAACAGAAGTCGATAGCATATGACCTCAACCAACGGCAACCGTTCTCCAAGGACAGTGACACTCTTGTGGCTGTGCAAGACCCATATGGTGAGATTATAGCATATGAGGCTTGGGCATGGTTGTTTGTAGTACACACTTGGAATTGGCAATTTGGTGTGCTGCACCATGGCGTGTATTTTGGTAGTCAGGACATTGGGCTGCTGTCCAACGCGGAGTTGGAGAAATCCATCTTCACGATGATTGGAAAGGATATAAACCACTCAAACTCAAAATGCTCTCTGTCGTTTTCAGGGTTTCCCAATCCATGGTTTCAATATATACCGGCCCGCTTGCATGAGGACGTGGAAAACATGGATGACAAGGAGCACCTGGAATCACCGAAACCAAGTGAACCGGTATCTTGGCTGCTCCAAATAGCGTGCCTGTTTTGAAGACTCCAATGGAATGGACGATGCATCGATCTTTCCTGATCAAGGCAGCTGCGATGCCAACTTTCAATATCTTTCCAGACGATGCCATGCTCCCCAACACCAAACCTTATAAGGTCCCTTGGGCATGCCAAAAAAGCACGTCGTGTATGTGAATGAACAACGTTGTTAATCTTGCACACAAGACATGGGGGAACACCTTTATCATATAAGGCCAGTGAAAGCAAAGCGATGAAAGTTCTTCGTCGGCTCACGGCTGTACGTGCTGATGGATCTTGTGCTCTCCCAATGGAAATTGTTGAGAAGTTCAAAGATATTGTGGGCGGTGGAAGGGCAGAGGTGATGGAACTCTTTGAAAAGTCTGATTGCAACAAGGACTTGTTGTGTTTCAATTCAAGTGCATGTGTACCCCTGCAAAAGGCTCTCAAATTATTGACCCCTTGCATCCTCCCTTTGCCCACGTGAGTCCTGACTGCATCTTCTGCATGCAGGATGCCTTTGTCAAGACCTGCCGCAAGAAGGCCCAGTTGATATCGGAGGATGACTTGTTCGTGGATGGCCAGTTCATGTCAGAACAAGACATGATTGATGAGGGCTTCAAAGAGTATCCTGTTTGCATCATGTGAGGGCCCCTTGTTTTTGTTCATCATCGTTTTTTAAACATTGCAATGCATAAAAGAGCACATGTGCTGGCTACAGCACGGACCCAGCACATATGACTTAGACTTAGGCCACGTATCGCTGGGATCAAAGCTGAATGTGCTCAACATGCAGGTTCGATCCGGTCACTCGGCTATCCGGTTCGTGTTCTGGTGTTCTGCCTGAGTTGATGGTTGCTGATACCCTGTCTCTGTTCATTCCACACACGCTCAGCCTTAACTCTTTCCACAGGTTAGCAGGACACGTGTTGCACACACTCACACCGTTCTTCTGAGGAGGACAAGTACGAGAAGCACGTGAAGCTTTACTGGGTGGAGAAACAGATTGGTGGAAGAAAGCTGATACTTGCATGCACTCTTGTCCGGTGCATGAGTCCTTGAATTGCATATTTTTTACATTTAATGTGTTGTCTAAAACGCGAAATCTATATAAGGAAAAGAAAGCGACAAGTCTTAGAAGAGGAGAACGACGTTAGCGACGGAGAATATGAGAAGATGCTTCCAACGTTTACACAAGACATTGGGGATGCCTTTGAATTGCCCAAGGATACAACAGGCATGCACTCTGTTTGCAATGCATGCATGCATGATCTGATATCATATTATACCGGCCATGCTATACTTACCATCGAATGGCTCATGTTCTGCAAGCGTACGCGTGCAGATCCAACCATTGTGATTGATGCTGACAGCGCCGTGGGCACCACTCGTGCCTTGAAAGCTTTGTCCTTCCCGGTAATGGATTCTGATGGCCTACCATCGAGCTACGCGCAGAAGATTCTTCAAGCGATCGGGAAGTGGCGCGCAAAGCTTTTTAACATGGGGGGCACTCTTCAAGAGGTTGAGGACCCACCTGAAAATGTGAGACTGTTTCTCAGTTGAATGAGACTACTGTGCAAAACCACTATTGTGAGAATAGGATGCATGTCCTACCCTCTAGTTCTTAGCCACTGAGGCTGCTCACTAGAACCATGGAGATCGATAAAGAGATTGGCAAAGTAGAGACATCAATCTCGAATGTCAACATTCTGGGGATCACCAATGGTTTCGATCGAACGTCACTTGGTTGTAACTGGACAAGCTGTCTTCATGTTCGCAATCTTAACACAGTGCGGACGGCTTTGGTATACCTTTCTCGGCACCGCTCCCCAAGGCAACAGGATGAGTTCACTTCCCTCTTCAAAGAAGCCCGGAAGTGGTGCCTAGTCGATGGCATTTTGGCGCTCGAAGGTGTCCAGTGGAAACATTTGAGGTTTTACAACAATCAACGCATTTTGTGTGCTAGTTGCAAACTTCTTCCCTCAGCACACGACGGTGATCAAACACAGGGCTTGATGAAGAACAATCATAACTCATGACATCACAATTATACCACACCAATGATTTGACTTGATAGAACATCAAGGCAACACCAATGCATTATTTCAATAAAGTCTTTCCAATATCTGTGTGCCTTAGCTTTGGACCTTCTGCAATGGATGATTTAGACTTCTTGTTGGACCTTCTGACATATACATGCCCTGTCACGGGCAGAAAGCGGTGCGCTGTGAGTGCGGGCCTTGATGCGCCTGCAACAGTGAAAAGACCTGTTCCTTCTGAACATGACGCTTGATTGAATCTAGGAAAGCAGTTTGGGTTAGCTCCCAAAACAATTTCCCAATATTGCATGTTCCCCGAGCCGTTCCCCGAGCACATCACTCCTGTATCGCGGCAGTTGCCTGAAGGCCTCCTGAAGGTACGCGGAGGAATGTGCTGTAGTTATGGAAGGACACTGTTGGTTCATAGAAATTAGTTTTGTGGTAAGCAGTTCTATATATATAGTTCTGGCCTTGACCAATGTATGAGGAATGCCAGGGCACGATGGACAATGCATGCTCATCGCAGGCAGCTGTTTCGTGGGAGACCCTCAACCGGTTCAACATCATCAACAGAACTTTGAAGGCTCGGCCACAACCGCCCACTTGTGGCAAGATCCTGTCACACTGCAAGCGGCAAATTAGCGCTTTCCGAGAAGCCCTTGGTGTCACCGTTTCTGTCTTCAAAATAGGTGTGACGGCTGACCCAGTGACACGCTCCCAGGACTACCGCAGCAAGAACTTTACTGACATGTGGATCATATGTGTTAGCAATGACCTGAGTCTCACCCACATGTTGGAAGCATCACTCATTGAAGTGTTTCACACATCATCTGGCTGCCGCAATGCACCAGGTAGTGGGGGGGAAGGTGGGCTGAACCGGAAGAAACACTTGGGTCCTCCTTTCTTTACATACGTGACCGGTGGCAGGGCTGACCAGTTGAAAAGGGTCGGATAACTTAATTCGATGTTAATTTGCACTTTGACTAGTTTGCCCGAGTGACTGCATTTGGGAAAATATGGGTCGCTCCATGTTTGGCAGGTCTTGCTGGTTTTCCGCAGGCTAGAACTGAGAGAACACGAAAAGACATTCTGTCCTTTGAGCTCCCAAGCCAAAGCCGGTCTGAGGTGCGCAGAAGCTTTGAACCTCAGCACGAGAGCTGCGTTGCTAACTTAGAGATCGATGCAAGATTTCATGCGAGCTTGTATTAAATCCACATTTTTTGTGAATCAAACAAAAGCTGTTTGGCAGCATATAAGGCCCTTTATTTCCCAAATCAAAGCGTTGGAGAGAAAACAGAAGAAGGAGGAGGAGGGTGTCAGGAATACTACACCTTCGCGGACCCAGGTGAAGGTTGAGCCCAAATCTAAATCCAGGAGGTCCAACTAAGGGGCTTGAGATTTGGCTGTAAAGGCCTGTGTGTGCACCAACCCTGGTCCTTATATATGACATTGGTTTGCCTCCAAATTGTGTTGTACATGTTGGATATGTTGGCAGTTGGTGCAAAATTTAGGGGTGTGACTCAATGAGGGTGATAACATCCTCGTTGGAAGCCCGGCTTCTACGAACAGCCAGTTGTTCGATGTTGCCATCTTATGGCTTGTGGGGGAAGTGGAAAAGAGCTCAGCCGTCGCTTTGCGTGAGATGTACTTCTTAGGAAATAGAGCTTGCGTGCATCTTCATGCAACACATGTTTATATTAAGTGGATTTGGTGCTAAGCCAGGCAAACGCCGGGCTGATGAAGATGATTCTGCTGGTCCACTATTAGAACATTTAGTTGAAAAGGTTGCCGATGGAGTTTCTTGCATGCACGTTGTGCTCACTGTGTCTTGAGCCCACAGTGGGTAGTTTGGTGCTCTTCCTGGCTGAGGCTCCAGCTGTGTCTTTGGCCCAGCATGCTGATGCCCTGCAGGAAGAGTTGGAGGATCATGAGCCCTTGCCCTTGTCCACCACTGGTGTGCTGGGGTGTCAACACAAGAATTCCTCCAGGCAGTACAAACGAGTAGTAGCCAGGTTTGGTATGGCTTTGAAACTTGGCTGTGGCCCAGTGCTTTTTCTTCAGCATCTACTACTAACAAAAGTATAAAGGGTTTGACCTTCACACTTTTATATCCTTAATAGACATGCATCCTGCATGAGGAAAATTCCGACATCGTACCACCAGTTCGAGGAGAATGGAGGGACCGTCAGACTTCCCTATCTGAAGCCAACAGACATGCTGAAGTATTTGCTGTCCAACGAACCGTGGATACTTTTAGGAGGGCTGGAACCTGGCCAAGAAGCGGAGGACATGCTGGCTACATTTTGGAGGCTCTACAAGTCGGAGCATAGCACTCATGCAGTGTACAAAATGGCCGAGGAAAATCGGCTCTCATTATCTCAGACCATCCCTGTGTTTCTTCACGGCGATGGAGGTCGTACCCAAAAGAAGGCGCCACTGGAAGTTGTCAGTTTTCGACCAGCTTTAGGATTGGATACAGAAATAAACAATTTTGGATGCACCTGCAACCCTTCAACAGTCTATTGTGGTGATTGCAAGTTGGATCCGCTCGCACAAAGGTTGAACAATCGAAATCACTCATACCTCACCCACTTTTTGATTTTTGCCTTCCCTTCGAAGAAGTTCAAATCGACTCCTGGCCTTTTCAAGTCCATGTTGGACGCGGCATCCATGGACCTGAGAGCTGCTTGCTGTGATGGAATTTCAGTGGGCAACAGTCTGTACCACGTGGCAGTTTTGGGGATGGCCGGGGACATGGAGTACCACACCAAGTCTGGAACACTGAACAGGTCTTACCAGAATGTTGGCTCCCGAAATTTCCTCAGGTGCTGTGCAGAGTGTTGGGCTGGCGACATTCGATATCCATTCGAGGATGTATCAACATGTCCCGCATGGCTCTCAACTCTATACAACAGCCCTCCTTGGACACAGACTCCACCATTCAAGCACATACCGTTTGAAGACTGGAACACGGGGGCTGCTGGGAGGTTTTTCAAGAAGGACCCAATGCACATCTTCAGACTGGGGATTGCAAGGAATTTCATTGGCTCCACTATAGTACTGTTCTGTTTGGAAGGGGTGTGGGATTCTCCTGGAGATTCGTTAGCGATAGACAATAGGTTGATTCGTGCATGGAGCTCCTTTGCCCTTTGGTGCGATGCCAACAATGTGACCTGTGGGGCTATCAGGTCATTCAGCAAGGCGGCGTTACACATGCCCAGACTTGGAGTCTTCCCCTTCATTGGAGGGAAAGCCAGTGACAGCATTTACCTCTTAAAGTGGCTGAAGTTTGTGAGTGGTCTTGAAGGTGTTGCAAACCCAACTTCGACTTTATTTCCATTAGTTCTGAAGGCTGCAGTGCAAGGATTGAATTTCCAGTGCATACACCGCCACGGACTGTGGCTACCAGTTGGCTGCAGGGACCGCATCATTCGATATGCACGAGACTTTGTTCAGTCTTATGCCTGGTTGGCTCAATACGCATACCAGCGAAACTTGCAGCTATACGGCATGGTACCGAAACTGCACGCGATGCATCACTTCCCTGTTCAATTGGGGCTTCAACATGGCAACTCCTTTTGTGCCAACCCAGCCCTGTTTGACTGTTCTTCTTCGGAGGACTTCGTAGGGCGCATCTCCAGACAATCACGGAGAGTGTCAAATGTAAACGTGGTTGAGAACACCATCTTAGCATACCGTGTGAAATCAAAAATGATCATCAAACGATTCAAAAGAAAGAAGCAATAGTCTCGAAGTATAGTTTTTTGTGCCAGCCCAGACTGTCGCGGCAATGCAGACCAGGGGCTTGACAGTTGGGTGCGCAAAGGTGCACCATGGCAACTGTCCAAGGGGTGTGGTTTGTGGATGAAAGATGATTATATATAAACAATCCTTGTTTTTGGCTGAGGAACAAACCCAGTGCGTCCATAGTGGTTTGATGACTGTTGTTGACACAGCTGATCCACATAAATCCACACATGGAATGAGAAATGGCAGCCGGGAGAGAGAAGGACAAATGGGAGAGGGAAGGAAAGTGTCAGGGTCTGAATTTTGGATTAGGGTCTGTTCTTGGATTTATGTACTATAATTTTAGTACTTAACATCAGGGTCTAAAAAAGTGTCAGGCCGGAAGGCCTAGGTATATACATAGAATATTGCACCCTCCCTCCAACAATCATGGAAGCTGACCACGACCCCCTTGTAGAGGAAAATGGTCTTCCGGGGCCTATGTTCCACTTCCATGATTGTTTCAGGGAGTGCATATATATATATATAATATACTAAAGATGAAGCTGGATCATGGCCCTTGAGAGCACGATTTCCTCTTCAAACAGGAGGAGGGTGAGGCACTTCTCGCTACTCTGCTTTTGTTATATTATTGCTGGGGCAGAACATTGGTTGGTGAGTCCTTTCTTAGCGAGGCGGCAGGTGCAGCTCTTCCACATTGAATACCGTCTGTGTCAAAAGTCAAAAGCACTGCTCGGGTGAGATCCACCAAGCGTTCCATTCGCTTCAGACGCGGACCAATTTCCCCCATCCCCCCCGCAAACCACTCACGATGCTGTGCTTTGGCACCCATTGCTTTTTCCATCACTGGTGGAAGGCCTGCGACCGCCAAGATCCCCGTTGAAGGCCTGCGACCGTTGACACATGTTGAAACTGTGAGACCGGTGAAGGGGAAGTTCATCCCAAAAGCTCTGGCGCACAGGAATCTCAGTGAATTCTTCGTGATTTTATGTTGGGTGCCCTGATTTGTCAAGCAAAAGGAGCAAACTGTGTTTGGCTTCTCAAACTACCAGAAACAGCTTCTCCGGTGCGACAGTGCCAGCTGCAAAGGGGTGCCGCACATCGAACAGCCTGGGAAGCAGCCGTTTTGCTAAGCAATGGCCAAACGTGCGGAGCGGCCCCCAAGAGACCCGTATTGAGTACTTCAGTGAGACTGGCTTTGCATTGGTTCCAAATTTGGCTCACTTGGGGTCAAGAAGGACACTCAGATCCGGTCACCCTGGTCTCTGTGGGACAAGGAGGGGACAAGGGATGGGGCGGGCAGGGTTTTTGTTGTTTTTCATTTAAACCGCACCCAACTGCAAGAATGCTCCTAGTAGCGATGCCAGGAGCCCCTAGTAGCGTTCTTGCTCCTAGTAGTAAGGCCAGGAGCCCCTAGTAGCTTCTTGTTACTAGTAGCGATGCCCTTTGTTACTAGTAGCTTGTTACTAGTAGCTTTTTGTTATTACTCGTAAGGCACTTGTTACTAGTAGCGATGCCCTTGCAGGGTTTTCTGTTTCGACCCTTTCCACGTTTGATCCTCCCAGGCGGGCAGCCGGCGGCCGTGACCTTGGACCTGGATCCGTCCCTCGGCGGCGACGGGAAGACCAGCGGTCCGTTGGGAGTCCGTTTTGGGAGTTCGTGCGGTTTATGTTTTGGTTGATGTTTTTCGGCTTTTTTACGTCTTTTGGGCCACAAGTCTTGGATGATTTTCCCAAGACATACTGTAGTGGTTCATCGCTGCAAGACAATTATTTTTTCTCAATCGCTGATGGGTGTTTCGAAGTGCAGCAGCTATTCCAGCCCAAGAAAAAGTTTGAAGCTATTGGTCGATCTGGGTCCTGTAGACTGTAGAACTCTTGTTCATGCCGCAGGAACCACAAGATCGTGTTTATTTGCATAACCACAGGTCCTATATATAATATATTGCGAATGCACAACGAAAGGCGGAGCCAGCAGTCGATGCGCGCTCCCTTTTTGGTCAAACCGCGGGGGCTTGAGTGCTGAGTGTAGCCGACATGAATTCCGGACCTGCAGACTGACTGGAATTTGCACCGGTGGACATCTAAATTTAACAAAAAAAATTAACTCTCCATAGGTTTTATCCCTTCAGCTTTTCGGCGCCGTGCCGACTTCATTTTCTCATCGTATACTATCCTCCACTTTTGGCCCATCTGGAAGTACAAATGGATTTGACCCTTTTCCGTAGGTTTTGTGAGTGAATTCCCTAGTTGAGCATCAGAATGCACCCACCTGATCATGGTTCCAGAGTCTGTTGCTGAATCCTTCAATGCAAGAGCTTCTATCGTGGCCCGTTTCTCTTCACCCTTAATGGTTGGTGTATCCTTGTCCAGGCGATCATAGAGGTTCTTACTGTCTGTCACCACAATTCCTGGAGAAAGCATGACTATGTTGTCTGCCGAAAGCCGCATCAAACAGCCCGGTGGATGATTGAGCTCGGACCATAAATATCTCATGTGATAAAGTTCATCCTCCGCATTGACAACAGCATGAATCTCTGCGCATGCTGGGGATCTGCATTTCCGGCCGATCTTGCCTGAGCGCCATGACAGAAGTGTCACCTTCGAGAGGCTGCCATCACGGAGTGTTCGAGGTGCTAAGCCTATGACTATACCTTCTGTGCTGTTGATTTGATCTGGACGGTTGGCCCAAGCTGCATCTCCCCAAGCGATGAGGTCGACTGTTTCTCCTTTCTGGAGAGGATGGGTTCTTATATCTGGAGCGGTTCTCTGCACATCTGCAACCAGGTTATTGAGTTTCACCAAGTCTTGAACAGTGCTTCGGGGTATAGTTGAAACCAGGTAGTTGACATCTGAACTGTGAACAACGTCGGTTTGCCCACAAACCCAACTCAAGCTACCCAAAACAGCTCTCATTTGTGATTTTTCTTTGTCTGTTGTCTCAACCTGTCGTTCCTTCAGCCTGTCCTTGGAGATCTTGATCATAGTGAGACCTTCAATGAAATCCTTCTGGGAAAGAGTGAAGCTGAAATCGGAATGTTGTGTCACTTTCACACCACATTGTATGAATGGACTGTCCTCCCAAACACCCCAATTGAACTTCTGTTTAATCTGACTCATGAGTTGTACATGTACATCGTCACTGTCGCACCCTCCAAACAAAAAGTCATCAACGTGACCACTGATTGCTGAACGTGGAACACCATGACCATCAAAATATACCCAAATGCATGGCTCTGTACGCATTCTAGTGTAACCTATAGAGATCAAGAAATTGGACACACTGCGATACCACCAGAGTGGGGCCTCGACCAGGCCATACGCTGCTCTCTGAAGTTGGGTCACCGAACCTTCAGGGATGTTCAATGCTTCGCAGATCTCTCGAGTGGGCTGCACTAGCATGCCGTCCTTCAGCTCCTCGCCTTGTAAGAATGCTGAAGAAACATCGCCCTTGCGTACTCTGAAATGTTGCCGTGCACAGAGGCATAAAAACAGTTGACGGCCAGAACGTGACAATGTCGGTGATGCTGTTTGTTTGTACTCATAATTCTTGTCTTGGTATCCTAATATCACCGCGCGAGCCTTGGCACGCCTGGGTCGATCTGGATCGTCAACCAGTTTCCAAGTCAAAACCCATCTCATACCCACAGCATCCTTTGAATTTTGTAGTTCTGGTGGAAGGACTTTAAAACAATGTGATTGTATGTAGTTGCGAACCTCCTTGCCCTTGGCTTCGTCAAACTCCAAGATTTCTTGATCTGTCAATGTTCTCTCTCGCACCTCTACATGAGACCTCTTGAGTTGGCTTACAACAAAGGCCTCTGGGTTTGCGCAATACCGCTGGAAACCTCTTTTGGAAGTGGGGATGTCGATGCTGATCTCAAATGCTGTTAGCACTTGCTCTGGGTGCTTTGTGGCTGTGAGAGCGGGATCTGACATCTCTGCATCAGGCTGGCTTGATGCCGGCGGCATCTCCACATCCGGACTGCTCGCATCTAGTCGAGGTCGAGAGGGACGATCGTCAAGAAGTGGAGTAGTTCTCTTCCCTGTCACTCTTCGCCTACCTGTGGGGTGTTCTGAAGCCTCTTGCCATTGAAGATCTGAGGGAACTTCCGAGGTAATATCCCAGTAGGTAGATCTTTGTGGATGACTAGCCAAACTGGAAATGGTCCAAGGTATCTCGCAGGGCCCCTTGAGCTCCTCGATGGCCCTCTCTCGACTGGACGCAGTTCTCAGCTGTTCGGGCGCCGCCTTGATAAGGCGTCCTGCTCGGTGGAGCCACACGCAACTCCCAGGTCGAAGTTTTCCTTCGTCATCAACACGGGTCTCAACAGCTAGGACTCTAGCGGGGCCCACAAAATGACCTCTCCAAGAAAACCCACGACCTTCACCACCTTGCGTCTGTCGTCTCCAATAGAACACCAGGTCCCCAGAAGTAAGGATTTGAGTGGTCTTCTACCTGCTGCCTCTGCCCTAGTCAGCCTTGCTTGTGCCTGAAAACGTAGGAAACTCTGTTCTGCTGTTGCCATTGCTTTGATGTTTTCTGCAAAGCCACCGTCAACCATCTGTTGGGGGTGAACTGGATGTTGGTCTACGTTTCCCTCAAACAAGCGTCCCCACTCATCTGGTGTACGACCCATAGCATGTTGTGCAGGAGAATAACCATGTTGATTGTCCCGACTGTTGCATGCCCAAATGGCCCTTGTGAACAACTCTGTCATGCACATTTCTGGAAAGTCGCTCGCTAGGGACTCCATGACATGTTTGACAGCCCTGATGGCTTCTTCGACCACTCCGATCTGCCAATGAGCTTCCGCCGGAATTGGTGTGAGAATAATCCCACGTTCTTGGCAGTATGCAGCAGCCTCATCACTTCTCCACACGCCCTCCGGATCTACCCGAATTTCTTCGGGTTGCCCAAAAACTGACATCCAAGACTCCTCAAAAATCTTCTGCACAATGTTCCAGGTTGCTTGGTTTCTACTGTTCTCGAAAATGATTCGCCCTACACGAAAACGTGAACCCTCATCGATGAAAAGAATGAACTTCACCTTGTTCTTTGTCTGGGGGTGAATCCAAGAACCCAAATCACATTGAACCTTCTGCCATTTCTTTGCCAGAGTCTCTAATTAATGTCGCTGGACGATGAGGTGCAGTCCTCTTCCGTTCCTCACACACGGGGCATTCAAAGTCGCGAGCCACCGCGAGGATCCTCTCTGAGACGCCCCTGTGTTTCAGCGATTTGAGAAGAGTGCTCAAAGAACCATGGCCTGTGACGTTGTGAATATGCCGAACCAGTTTCAGAATCCTCTCATGTTCTTCTCTGTTGATGTCCCCTTCATTCACAAGGCAACTCTCTGAAGATTCCTCACAGAAAAACGGATCCGAGGATGCTGTATCCTCAGCGTTCAGCTCATAGGTCAAAGCGGTCCACGCTTCATGCTCCTGAAGAGCCTCCGCCACCTTTTTCACAAACACCGGAGTATAGTATGCTGACATAGCTGGTCTACCACTTTCACATGGTGTCTGCTTGTGGTTTTGTTGACATGGAAGATGCATATGACGGAGGAGACCCTGGTTGGCGGTTGCTATGGTCCAACCCTTGCACATCAGCTGTTGAGTGTCTTTTGCGCGAAGCCCAACAGTACAACCATGACAAGTCACTTTCCTAAGTTGGAGCTCCTCCACAAATCCTTGTAACTCGTGCAAGTGCCAGGCCTCGCAACGCTCCGACAATTCCCAATGAATTTGGGATCCACGGCGTCGACCATATCGTGCCACCTCAATGCCCCCCAAATATTCCCTTCTAGCATAGGCTTGCTTTTCCTCAAGTTGTTTCCTCTGTTCCTCAGTCTTACGATTGAGTCTTTGAAGGGGGGAATATAGGGACCACAGTCGCATGACACCCAAATATGAACTGGTCTTACCTCACGGATCAGCTTCTTGAGTTTGGTCACGCCACTGTCGGATGTCAAATCATAGCCATTCCAGATTGAACAACGGAGTGCACTACCGGGTTCAACACCTCCTCGGTCAAAAGACTCTGGGGCCCACATGCCACCTCCAACAAGAAAACTCGATCAGAGTGCACTAGGTCATTCCAGTGTTTGCCGAATGGATTTCTTGTTTCAAGCCATGCGCGACCAATTTGCTTGTGGGTGTGGAAGCATTGAAGGACCGGGCATGAATCCCACTCCTGATCACTCTCGGGCTCATCAGCGGTGTTCACATCTCCTTGCGGGACTTGCTCCTCTCCATCTGCTTGGAGAGCATGGCATTCTCTGACTTCAGCTGCTCCAGTTCTGCCTTCAGGCGATCCACATCTTGGTCTGAATCGGACTGATTCACCTTGACAAATGAGCTGTCCGTGTGGTCGCTGTCTCGCTCGCGAGCTGGCGGCTGGTAGCCTGAATTCCGTCCACGAGCTGTCGGAGTTGTCAAGGAGCGGATTGTTGGGGAGAGGTATCAAAAAAAACATAAATAGGGATCAATAAAAAAATAAATAGGGATCAATAACAAAACAAATGGGTATCAATAAAAAAATAAGTAGAGATCAAGACAACAACAAGCAGGGATAAAAAGAAGCAATAGAGAAGAGAGAAAGGAAAGAAAGAAAGAAAGAAAGAAAGAAAGAAAGAAAGAAAGAAAGACAGAACAACAGAAAAGAAAGAAAGACAGAAAGAAAGAACGACAGAAAGAAAGAAAGAAAGACAGAAAGAAAGAAAGACAGAAAGAAATAAAGAAAGAAAGAAAGAAAGAGAGAAGGAAGGAGGGAAAGAAAGAAAGAAAGAAAGACATAAAGAAAGAAAGAAACACAGAAAGAAAGAGCGAAAGACACAAAGAACGAAATAAATTGAAGTAGACATTGAAGTAGAGCAGTGCTTACATGAACTGCTTGCAGGACGCATTATAGGCAATATTCAGGTGAGAGCTAGGAGCCATTCGAAGGTAGCAGACCTTTTTGTGAGCCACCTGGAGGAGGGAAGCGGCCATTCCAAGGTAAGCCTTCCGAGGGCAAAACTTGGAGGAGGAAGGCGTCAGTCCTTTTGTGAGCCGCCCAAGAACCAAATTTAGAGGAGGAAGGAGCCACGCCAAGGTAGCGCGCCTGTGGCTCACAAAGGAGGCAGGCGCCAGAGCGGGCAAGGGAGTTATTTTTTGAGCGCGCGAGTGAGGTGTGTGCATTGGCGTCGTCATAATTCAGTAGGCGGCGCGTGCTGCCGAGATCGCTTACTCAAGTCAGCCAGTGAGTTGCAAGCCAACCCCGACAATGACCGCTGAAAGTTAGAGAAACAAATATCAAGAACGCCAGAAAGCCGACAATGCCGCTCGCGTGTGCGCGCAGAAAGCAACTCGCTTGTACGCGCGCACGTTGGAAGAGTAGGAAGCCTTCACCATAATGGCTGCGCCGGCGCACACTCCCACTTGCATCAAGATCATGTGTCTGCCACGCACGCAGGAGCAGATTGCGCATCTTCAAGGCGTCAGGTCTTCCAGGGCTTCTGGTTTTCCCAGGGTTACACCGGACATTATATCGGGTCGAAGAGGCTTGAAGACGTATTTTGCGCCCCGAAAGCTTCCTACATCCTTTGTTATCATAGAGACTTATGATGACCGTGCGTGGAAAAAGATCAGAATTCCTGCTCAGGTCGCGGAGCCATTCCCATGTAAATATACCTTTTGTGAGCTTCCCGAGAACGAGCGACAAATTCAGCGGAGGAAGCAGCAAGTCCAGTGTAGCATAGTATCTTCTGTGAGGAACCCGATGCTACTACTGCTCCCACAACACGGCTACGACTACCACGACGACTACTACTACTACTACTGCTGCTGCCGCTGCTGCTACTACTACTGCTACCACCTACTACCTACTACCTACTACCTCCTACCTGTTACCTACTACCTACTACCTACTACCTAGTACCTACTACTTACTACTACTACTACTGCTACTACTACCACTACTACTACGACGACGACGACAACGACGACGACGGTCACTACTACTGTTGCCACTGCACACATTACTGTTCTTTCTTTGTTGATTCTTGTTTGTTTTGTTTTTGATCCTCGTCTGTCAATTGTTTTTGTTATTACGTCACCAGATTTTGTTTTTTGATCCTTATTAATTTTTCTTTTGATCTCATTGCTTTATTATTATTTTGATCCTTATTTATTTTTTTTTTGATCCTCCACCCGGATTGTTGGGCCTTGAGTCAAAGGCCTGTCCCAGTTCTCCTTGAGCCATTCTGCCAGGCGACAAAGTCGCCAATGACTGCCCGGATTCTCTGCTGCTGTGTCGATCACCCAGTTGCCGTAGGAGCGATGTGTCTGCAGGATGTCCTTGTACTGACATTCGGCATGTTTGCCAAAGTTGACCAGTGGTGTCTCCATAGTCATTTTCTCCTCCAGTCGGCTGTACATCTGAGCAATCGTCATGGAATGCCCTCCTTCTCTGCCATCTCCATGATGTGTGCCTTCTTCTTTGCAGCCTTGTTCAGGGCCTGGATCTTGCTCTTCAGGACCTGGCGGTCGGACTCCTTGTCGGACTCCTTCAGTTCTGCCAGGCGAGCTTTCAGCTGGAGCACTGTCATGCTCGAGGAAACTGACTCGCCGTATTCCTGAAGCTTGTTGATGAGATCGGCCTTGCACTCGGTCAGCATGATCACACACAAGTTCCGGAGAATCACACGGTCTGCACGTTGAGAGTTCACACTGCTGCTGTCGGGATAAAACATCTTCCGGCTCAAACACACACCTGATAGACCCACTACAACCATCATACACGGAATCACAATCATGTTCATGTCCACAAAAGGTGCAAAAAGAATTCTGTACAGCGTTCAAATGACAAATGCTGCAGGTTCCAAGTTCTACACATGCACTATCAAAAGAATGAGGGCTCCCCTGGACGCGATGTCCATTTTCTCCAGAGGAGCGGATTTCCTATTCATCACCGAGCGCACCAAAAGCCTGCTTACGGCGGGTGGCCCCCTCAAGAAGATTTCCACTCAAGGGCATCAGGAGATGGCCGTTCGAGGCCTGTTCCAAAGCAACAACACTGTGGGGGCAAATCTTGCGGTAAATCACTTCATTCCGCCCAAAATCCACAACAGCTCCTAAAGCCTTGAGGGACCGAATCGAAATCAAAATCGGCTGGTCAGGTACTTCATGTACATGAATTGCCATGTCTCCTACCTTTTCTCCGCACGCCACCTTCACTGTGGCTGTGGACACACACGGCTGTGTGCCGTTGTTCCCAAATCTGAACACAGGAGTTGTGTCCGGATCCACGCTCACGCCATCATGTCCCTTGTTCAGGACATTGTTCCTCATCAGTGCCTCAACAGCACAGACAGAGCCCAAGGTGGCCGTGGCACCGCAGTCAATGATTCCCTTGCCCAGGCGGATGTTCTCGCTCACCTCGGAACTGACGTTGGCCTGCTCACACGACAAGGATTCCTGTACAGGTGCCACACTGAAGGCGACTTCAGCCTCTTCCGTCACATTTGCCTGCTGCCGACGGGGCATTGGACAGTTTGACGTTTGGTGAGGGCCTCCACAACGAAGACACTTCTGAGGAGTATCATCTCTCTTGCCTTGACCCTTGGAGTAGCCCTTGCCCGTGGTCGACGGGTAGAATTTCCGCCCGCTGCGAACTTGCTGTTGCCGCCAGCGAGCCTCCTTCAAGGTGCGCTTCTTCTCTTTGATCACCTCAAGGGCGTCTTCGATCACCTCCTGGTCTGCAACGAATGCCGCATAGGCCTCCGGTTCTGTCGAAGGGTCCGGCATTTCACCATCGGCCGTCAGGCCGTCTTCCAGGTCCTCCTCCTGAGCGAAGTGGGCCTGGTAGTGCGACTTGTCTCTTTTGAGCAAATCATCATCAGCCCATTGCTCCTTCAGCGCTCTCTCCACAGAGGCGACTGAGAACTCACCACGACTTGCAGCAAGCACATTGGCGCGCTCTCCGGCATCAAGCCCTGAACGCTGAAGGAGAAGAAAACCTGTGAGGTGGTCTGGAATGAAGTCAGAGACCTCCGCCTGCCATGAAGTCGGTGGTGCATACTCATCACTCTTCCATGAGCCAGCTTGCCATTCAGACCAGTCTGAGCCCCACCAATTCCAGCCATTTTGCAACCAACCATCAGCGCCACGGTGGGGATGTTCATCCTCACCATCATCATCCATCATCCTACCATTCTCATCGAAGGGTCCCATAGGTCCAGCGGCACGGTGTGTCGATGCTGTGACATCCGAGCTCCTCCGATCTCGTCCAGTGGCACCCCAACTCACATCACTAGGAGCTCCACTCGAGTGTCTTGAACCCCCCAGGGCAGTGTTCACACTGCCGCCATGCTCACCTTGCACTCGTTGTAGAGATCTTGATGCCTCCCAAAGGGCTTCACTGTGTCGATTGACCCATTGGGTCATGGTTTCATTCTTCTTCCGCCTCAACTGGTAAAAGAATTTCTGGATGTTCTGCGCTGCCAGGATCAGTGTTGGCTGCCCCAATGATCGCTCTAGATGGTCTATCAGGTCGAAAGTCCCCCGCGGATGAGCTAACCATTGAGGGTCCTTGGCCAACTTCTTTCTGATCACTGTTCTAGCCACCCCTGTCAAGCCCTGAGCTAGCCTAGGCCCAGCCAGATACCGTTTGTGGTGTTCCAACGTGAACAAGTAGGCTAGTGCTTCTTCTTTGAACAGAGGCAGCTGCTCCACCGTCCCATCAAAGGACGGCACCCCCATCTTTGCTCCTCGGCAAAGTCTCCATGTCCCCGGATCCACGCGATGCCTCTGGGCAATCACGTGCCTACCTGGACTTAACCAGGCTAACGAGCTACCATGCGAATGCACAACGAAAGGCGGAGCCAGCAGTCGATGCGCGCTCCCTTTTTGGTCAAACCGCGGGGGCTTGAGTGCTGAGTGTAGCCGACATGAATTCCGGACCTGCAGACTGAGTGGAATTTGCATATATAGCCACGCTATACTGTGTGCTATTTGAGCGTGTGCCTGTTTAGCTCAGGTACTATGTGCAACCGCGTTTGCAGCACTACAGTCCAGATTTCGCTAGGGCGGCCCAGAGGGGACCGAGGGGACCGTCAGTGGAAAACCGTTCATTGTAAATGGACCTGAGGCAGCAGGAGGCAACTCATTAGATTTGTAGGGCAGGAGAACTCATTCACATTCATGCAAAGCAGACCTATCTGTTCGGAGGGGCGGAAGAACTCTGATCATCGCACCCTGTTGGGCATGTCTGACTATGTCTTGGTGGCCAGTTTCGACCATGTCGGATGCTTTGAGCCAGAGAGTGGGGAGCCAGAGCTTCTGTCAGGGCCTGACTGCTAGGCGGTTTTCAAGGCCGTTGGTCCGAGGACGGATGGCACGGGCCCGGTTTTCATCATGTTTACATCTGGGTCGGACTACGCGGGACTACGGTATTACCGTATTATATGGTACTGTATGGTATGGTACTATACTATCCGATTGCCCAAAATATGGGCGTTGAGCGTCGGCCCCAAGAGCCTCCCTTTTTCCAAGCCTTGAGCGTTTGGTTCGCCCCGTTGGTGTGCTACTCAGCGAGGTTCGCAAGCCCACGGTGCCTGCCGAGCGAGAGCCTGAGGACAGGTGGTCCAAACATCTCACCTTTTCTCGGGGGCCTCTAGTGACACCAGATAGGTGATTCCAAACATTCTTTGTACCTTCAAGTGCGACAAGTGCTCCGCTCCAACTTCCCTGATGTGTGTTCAAGTTGAATATGAAGGTACGGCGACTCGCGACGGTGAGAAGATCTTGGATCCGCCAAGCAGTCTCAAGTCTTGTGAGCGTCCGAACTTGAGCAATGAAGAATATGACGACCGTTCGAAACTAGAAAGACCGTTCGAAACCGTCAGAGTTGGATCACTGGGATCGATGCGTCCGGATTTGGCCGCAGGATGGGGCCGCTGGCGCACTCGAAGGCGCCGCACCAACTCGCCCGATCTGCCGATCTCGCGCGAGGGGATCCGACGGATCTGTTTTGTGTCGTTGGTGTGTGGAGGTTCGCAAGGGTGGACGGACTTCTGGGAAGCCGCAGACTTGTTTGGAAAGGTTTTTTCCTAATCTCCAAGACCTGAAGGAAGAAGGGGAAAAGTATGAAAAAGTACTACTACCATGGCTGGACGGGTGGTGCAGATGCACGTTTTCTTTGCAGGTGATCGTTTTTTCGAAGTATTTCAGGCAGAAGTTGCGCAGTGGTCCTTTTATATCGACCCTGTCATGTTCCTTCCAACTGATAGTTGTTCTCATGCAGAGTTCTTTTTGGTTCAATAACCCAGTGTAGAGGTATAGAGCATTATAGAGCTATTTGGAAGGGAAGACAAAATCCTTTTCGAGAGGTTGCACTCAAAGCCAAGTTTCTGAGCTGAAAGGGTCCTTGCAGCACCTCCATCCATCGGCAGGTGCCAGTTCGAAATTGTGGGGGCCCAAGTGAGGATGGATCCCTGGTTCCTATAGTAAAGCTAGGCCCAGATCAGTCTCGGGGACCAGCCATTGCGGAGCAAAGCAGACCAAGGTATAGTTCCACCAAAATCGAATTGACGTATATATACTGTTTCGGGAAAAGAACCCCATATTTTGGTTTGAACTGTTTGTTGAATTCTAGGCTCCAATGACGCGGTAATTAAGCAGAGAAAGCTCACTGTCATGAGTGCTGTCTGCTGAGCTGCGTCTCACTACATGACTACCTGCATCTCACTACGTGCAACGCTAACATTTACCCAAGGATCCCTGTACCATCCTGTACCTAAGACCAAGTAAGAACTCGACCAAAGAAGTATCTTCTCCTCCATGCCCCGCGCACGTCCGTAACCCGGTGAGTCAAGGCCGTCCTTGGTGCCGATGCCGCCGCCCAAGTTCACAACTCGGGATCCACTGTCGTTCGGTTTGCGCCCGGGCACCCAGCACGCAAGAAGCAGCGGCGTCGTTCCAATTCTGCGGATCGTACGTAGATTAGACACTTGGCCACATTTGGCAACTGTTACCAGTAGCGGTAGCGACGCCCTTGTATGGTGGGATCGTTAGGGGATAGTTGATGTGTTGTGATGTGGGGTTCGACACGAGAATTGTTTGGCAGGACTTGTTTGAAAAGAGATCAAGAATCTTGTCAGGGATGATAACTGGGTCAAGTTCATTTAGTGGCATGAGCTGAATTGTCCGACTCACACGTGCGGGTTTGTGGGGCCAATCCCATGTCCGTTTTAGCCTTCATGGAACGATTTGCACATATTTGCATATGTTGCTGACTTGATTTGACTTGCTCGTTCCCTTATGAGCCCAGGAAAGCATGTAGGGGCTTGTTGATGTTCCTATGCCGTAATTGAGTGATTCTTTTGACAGGTTGACTTGAGGACAATGTGTTCCTCAAGTATGATACAATCCACTTGAAAGTGCCAAAGACCAACAAGAGATCTCTTGCATTTGCACCTGTCTTCTCTACACCAGCTTGTGATCTCCCTTCCGCCGCGTCCGAGTCAACCCCGTGGTGCCCAAGCCCGGCGCTGCGCGCCCGAGCCCCCGGCCCAACCCCCGGCGGCGCCTGGACGGATGACGGCGCCATGACGGCTCCGCCGGCCCCGCGGGCTCCACGGGAACGAACCGGTGAGGCTCCGACGCCGAAGAGGTTTTCGAAGCCAAATGTGACATGTCAGAAGGCAAATCTGTAAAGACCCGAAAGAAACTAACGAATGGTCCGTTTTAATCCTAGGGGTAGACGGATAAGAATTTCACATCGAAAATCATTCAAATAGATCCGGAGCAACCCTTCAGAAAAGGAGGTTGAAGACTTTTGACGCTGGACGATTCGTGCCATTTTGGACCAAATCAGGTTCGGGATGACCCTCGCTGACCCCGAACCGAACACTGAGACGAATGGAGTCACAGGGGCTTTGGATGAAACGATGCCCAAAACCATGGCCCTCCCAAACGATGCACCAGCTATAAGTGCTTCATACCCCAACACTACAGGATGTCCCATGCGGAAGAACGACGTAGCTCAACAATAGTTTAAGCTGAAAGAGTTTGTTGAGCTGAGCTAGTTTCTGTTGGTTTTCGTGGAGCACCAGCTGTCATAGGCTTTTGTTGAAGCCAGGACTCTTTCGAATCTTTGACGCCTACAGACCGACCTCAAAGAGCAACCATCAAGGGAAGAGTGACCGTTGGACCATGTCTGAAGGACCCAAGCCCGAGCGTTGAAACTACCGAGACTCTCTGCCCACAATTTGTTGAGCTGATAACTGAGAACTACTATAGCTTGTCTTTATTTATTCAGTTTTTTTCGCATAGTTTGAGGAAGTTCATGTATGTGCACCTTCTGGGCATCTTCAGGACGGGGCCTCACTTCCTCCCACAAGGTTGCTAATACACGTACGGTTCTCTCCCAGCAAAAGGCCAAGATGTTCAAGTATAGCAAGTAATTATACATATGTTTTACAAAGTACAGCTTTTATACCTATTGTACTTTCATACTTGTGGGGAACACCCCACATCTCCCCGCCTTGGTCACCCAAAGCGAACACCCCCCATTTCGCTGCAAACCCAGTTCTGGAGACTTGGAGACACCGGTGCCAGAGACAAAGACCCCCGGTGCCAACCGCAAAAGCGGCCGCTCATGATGAGTCCAGGCTGAAAATTGACCTGGATGAGTCCCTGTGGGTGTCTCAAGATGAGAGATTTTCCCTTTGTTGTGCCGTTTGAATGTTTGGCATTTCAATCACAATGTGAAGCATCAGTTCATTTCGAACACCCTACAGGGCAGATAACGCACGTCCCAAATCTGCCAGAAAGAAGGTAGATGGACACAAAACGATGCGATCCCTCAGGATGCTGCAGAAATCGCAGCGATGGACCTGCAGAAATCGGCAGAACATCCGTGCGTTCAGAGTTCAGAGCTTGGCCAAACTCGACCTTGGAGTAGACATGCAGCCAATGGTGAGCAGCCAAGGTAGTAATGAGTTACTATCCACTATGGCTGACCGACTCATTCAGAGAAGGGTGTTTCATGTGTTGGTACAGCGAATTTCCTTCCTTGGCAGCGGTTGATGGATGACATTCTGCACTAGACTAGCTGGGAGACACCAAGTCCTGGGAATTCTTTTCTGATGTTCAGAACATTCCAAATCACTGCTCTTTGTCAGATCAAGACATGTTGGGTGGAGCAAGCGAGCAAGTCAACAGGCTGCTCCCTTTCAGATTGCGCATAGTTTTCTGGAACATCAATATCAAGGACTGTTACTTTCTGTAGTCACATGCTGATTTGGCAGGACCTGGGGATTCCAACCTATTTTTCCACCAAAACACGGGAGCCACCATGATCACCCACCTATCCCACAGAATATTCCAATGTCATGGTCGACATTATATGAAGAGCAAATGATTGGCAGCCCCTGTCCATGCATCAATCCTAGAGTCATAGAGCCCTTGGACACAAACAGCCTGACCAAAGCACCGAGGTTTAGATATGTTTAGATTAGATATAGCTTATTCCTCTCTTCCGTGGGGTACATCTTCAAATTCGAGGATGGTCCCGGACCCGAAGTGTAGGTCTTGGACTTTTGGACTTGAATAAGACATTGGAGTCAAATATCGAAGTCGCCATCATTGCTACCCATCTGGTGGGATCGACCACTCCAGGGGCCGAGTGGCGGTCGCCAGGTCTTTGTGGAGGGAAGTCCGGACGAGCATCTGATGGCCGGGATGAGAGCTGGGGTGTGGGGTGGGGTGGAGTTAGAAGCCTTCAGCCCCTTCAGATCCTCTCAGCTTGGAGTAGCAACGGTAGTTTACCCCCCAAAAGCACAACCGAACAAACCAC